GTGATCCGTCAGATATCATATCACCTTTATGTCTTAATTATTTCTAATGAGAATCCTTAGGACTTCAGCGCATATTAGAAAAAGATATGGTGAAATTTGGTCCTTTTGTCTGCATCCCCTTTGTGGGAGCAAGTAGTAAGAAAAAAATCCATTCTGTATGACATATGACTTGATTCCATTATAAAACGTTTGTATCAAATTTTCAATGGATTCCCCAAAATTATAAAATTTTAATGTTTGGTATATAAACTTCCAATATATAGTATCAAAAGTTTTTCCAAAGTCAATTAACATTAATAAGCCTGGAATCTGTTTTTGTTCTGTGTATTGCATGTGTATTGCATTAAATCATAAACTAGTCTAACATATTCACCTATGAGTCTTTCCTTCAAAAAGCCAGTTTGGTCCATATTTATTATTTTTTTCAACACAGTTTTCAAACGTTCAGCAATACAGCCTGAGGCTATTTTATAAATCACATCCAATAAACTGATTGGGCGCCAGTTCTTTAAGAATATTGTTTTTGCTTTCCTGATTTAGTTAAGAAAGTTATAACACCTAATTTATTTGATTATTGTGATAATGCATATGAGGTGTTTATTGCTCTTGTAATGAAGGCACTTATATCTTGCCAAAAAAAAAAAAAATGAAAAATTCACAGATGAACCCATTTGGTCCAGGGCTTTTCTCATTTTTCATATTTTTCAAATAATTCAAAACTTCAGAAATAGTCAAATAGTCAATAGTTTTCTCTCTCTTCAATCCATTTCACTTTTGCTCTAATACATTAACCTTTAAAATTTATTTTTCTAATTTTCTCTAATTCTTCATTTTTTTTTTCAAATTCTTTAGTCAAATTCTTTCCAGTTTTCTTTTTCTAGTTGCAATTTTTCTTCAGTTATTTTCTTTTTCTTATAAATTGAGTGAGAAATTGATTTTCCCTCTTATTTCCATCAATAATATATTTAGAAATAATTGATCACTTAGCATAAACGGAATTGTGCCATTTTTAATAAGTCAATATTGATAAAATTATAAATAGGGCAGGAATATTGTAATTTGATATTTCTAATTTTTTTTTCTTTTATCACATTTACTTATTCTTTATCTGCAAGTAAAGAGCTATTTAATTTCCAAAACCCTCCTCCTCTCAGAAATTCATTTGTTTTCACATCCATTACAACTGGACAGTGATCTGAACGATAACTATTTTCAAATTTTACATAACGGGCCAATTGGCATCTTTATTTTCATTAACCAATGTCAAGTCACAGTTATTATCAATAAGTGTAGCGAAACCCCATGGGTTTGATTTGTATGAACTCTAAAAAAAGCCTTATATCCCCATAATACTTTAATCATGCTTTTATCGTTTTTGACAAAGTGTGTCTCTTGAAGGAAATAAACATTTTTTTCCTTTAATTTTTTAAAGACATCCCTCCTTTTATTCATTTCCCCTAAACCTTGGCAATTTAATGTAAGTATTTTTTACGAAATTCTCACATGGATAGTCATCCATTCTACGATGAATGAATAAAAAAGTTTACTGTTCCCCAACAGTAAGAAAAAAAGTGTTGATAAAAAAGTAAAAATCTAAATACACTACAGAAAAGTAGTTTTTAAGCTTAGACACACCTGCTGTCATTTTGAAAATGTACAAAAAACAGACCCGACAATCCTCACAAGAAGTATATTTTTGAAAGAAAAATGTGAAAAATATAGAAAATTAATTTCAGTTGAGAGGAACTCTATATACTCCATTCCTTTTCTTTTCAGTTCTTTTTTTCTAATTACAATTTAGTGTAGTTACCATGTTTGTTTGTTTTTTCTATATAAGAAATATATCTGGAATGTAATTACAACAAAAAATTTTCCATATCAAAATGTTACATTTTGCACTGTATTAAAATTGAAATTATGCACACAGACTCCTCTCTGAGTTGAGTGGTTGAATAAAAAATTGAGCAATCATCAACTTACAAGTTAACACGATCCATGCTACACGATATCTATACTGGAAACCAAGACTTTGAAAAAAAAAAACGGATAGTATCAAAAATGAACATTTATAATTTATCCAGATGTCATGTGCAGCATGGATATAATCATATTGAAAACCACTAAAATAATTATTTCAGTCCATGCAAAATTACTGTAATAGTCAAATTCGATGAAATTACACAAATGATAACACATAGAAAAAAACAATGTACTGTATGTTTGTATTTTTAGCTAGTGGCTTTTCATAGTTTACATTTTGGATCGTCAGACGGGAACTGGCGTATATCTATTTATTTTGTACTTTCTAACAGGTAAGTGAAGTATCAAATTTATTAAATCTCTCTCTCTCTCTCTCTCTCTCTCTCTCTCTCTCTCTCTCTACTTTTTAAAGTACAGTTAATACTTAGTACATATAATAGTGTACAGATTTTTTGTTGTTGTAATGCTGCGTGTGGTGATATTTTGTTACTAAAACAGTTTTCTTCTTGGTTCCAGTGCTAAACCATCTACGAACTTCTATACCCTGTGTGCATATATTTTTTACAATAAAACACTTTGAGGAATGATGGAATTGCAACGATTGGGACCAGATCTCTTTGAAATTCGTTGACCCTCCAGACGTGCCCCTTAATTCCAAGGACTAAAATAAAATATCTTTTATTTACATTTTGTCCAATTCTATATTCCATTACCCTATTAAAAATACTGAGCTGAAAATAGAATTCGATGTTGATAAATTGAAAATATACTTGTAACGGTATAATTTGGTCGCTTTTAGATGCAATGTTATCAATCGGACCGACAGCAACGTGATTTATTGATATTTTTATATTCACAAAGTTACCCGAGTCTACAAATCACATGATATATTGGAATACTATACAGGTCACAAGGAGGTCAATGACATGTAAATACCTGTAAATGGCGAAGAAAAGGTCGGCGTTTTGTACCTTTTTTTCAAAACGTTTACCCAGAGCACAGGCTTGCCCAAAATTCTCCTTTAAAAATTGTGTATTTCCATCAGTTCTACACTTTCTGTCCTTTTGAGAAATTTGAGCAAGAATGCAGTCTCCATGTATTCTAGTTTTAAAGGTAGGAATAACTTGAATAACAATGGAAATTCATGAATTGCAGTGACCCCTCCTTCAAAACACAAATGCATTCATTTTTTACTTACTTTTAATTCCTGTTATTTTCAGAATTGCAATAAAAACCGAAAAGAATCGCTTTATTGGTCTCATTAGGCTTCTTTCTATAATTGAAGTGCACAATTTAGCGGTGCCACTTTTTGTACACTAAGTGCAATCTTTATTTTTGCATACCAACATATTTATCACCGTATTAGTCGAAATTTTAGTGAGACGCAAATTAAGCGATTTCTACTTAAAATCTGGTATTTTGTTTTTAGCGAGAAGTAATTTTAGCGATTTTAAAATGCTTACTAAAGAAGCTTATACAAATAATACGCAATTAATTTTTAGCGATATTCAATTTTAGCGATGTCAGCACCCTTGCTAATAATGCCATAATTAAATCATCGCTAAAAATTCTACTTATACGGTATTCCCCACCAAAGCATGTTTTTTTTATGTAGATTTGTATCCCCCATGACCTTGTTTGAATTATTACAATTTGTTAATATAAACGCTACATTCACACTTTTTTTTCTGAAGATCTCAACACAATTTCAATTAGTATTATGAATCATATTCATTCAATTTTAAAGACATATTTTCCAACAGAAAACCTCTCCTATTCATACATCTTCTTCAAACTTTTGTTTCAAATTACATCAAAAACTAGTTTCCTAGCAATCTTGGAGCACTTTGTTTACGTATAAAATGCCGGTTTATGTTTTATATATTTTATTCATTCATTTTTATTTCACTCACAACAACATCAGTGGTACATGAGGTTCAATATATAAATAAGTCTTCATAATTGTAGAAAAAATAATAAATATAAGCATAAATGAGAGGCAAAACATATGTGTAAAGTATAACAATAAACATACAATGAAAAGAGAATGATAAAAAAAAAAAAGAAAAGAAAAGGTATGATAGCATTTTAATTAACGGGGAAAAACTCTAAATTAATAAATTAAATATAATCTCGTAGAAAAAATATAATTCACAAAGCAATTAATATGAATCACTGATTCACTCAGCATATCTTAGTACAGTTGATTTTTCGTTGATATTAAACCTAGATTATCTGCAACTTAATTCCAAAACTTTTATTCAACACATTGTCTAGCCTCAAAAACCGACACTTATTGATAGACTGTTGAAATACCCGAAATACGGGCACACAGTTACAGGTTTCACCAATTTCTGCTTCTGATTGGTTTCTGTATCTAAAAATATATATTTGCGGGCGGCAAAGATGCACTTGCCACGTCCCATTTTCCGTTGTTCGTCATTTCGAGAAATCCAGCGCTGCCGTTACTATGGAGGTCGGAAAGGGGTCTTTTGTCGTATGAATACTTGACTTTCTTGATGAAAATGCAGATATTGTAATAATCATTTCTAATAAGAAAAAAATAAGTACCAACGTTCAATTTACAATATTTATAAGTGTTTAATTATCTAAAGTTAATTAACTTTTTTTCTGACATTACTTTGAATGCGACTTTTATTCCAATTTGTGTTATGTAAAATGCTCACACTCATAAAACCTTGATTTGAATATTTGGAATTGCAAAATCAACATTCATGGTAATTTACATCAAATTCAACAAATCAATATTTTAATCAATGAAACATTCAGAGTATATAACTATTAGGCAATCATTTTCAGTAATTGATGTATATTTTGATATTTATATTTGGCGTTAGGTATACTACATAGCAAATTTCTACAGTTACCCCACAACGCAGCCAGTAGTTCTAAGTACAATTTACAATATGGGCGCTCTCTGTGTAATTATTTTTGTTTTGGTCTTTTCAACCGTTTGCCAGTCTATCATTATTTCGAGGAAATACACCGCGCAACTGGAAATGGATGATAAGAAGTCAAATGAAGACCTTTTAGGAGAACACAACTCTACATCAATTATAGAGTGTGCAGCGCGTTGTCAAAAAGAGTGTAGTTTCTATGGGTTTAATCCCAATATGAAGAAATGTCGTACCCACAAGAAGATTTTTACGTCGGGGAAGTCTAATGAGAGTGGATGGAGATACTACTTAAATAACGGTATATATAATTTTCTTTATTTCATTTGAACAGAAATTCAAGAAATTGAAGTGATTAGAAATACTAAGACAAGACTATTACTTAGTATTTCTAATCTCTTCAATATCTGTAATAAGAACATCCTTCACAAAATGTACATTGTAGTTAACTAGCTTAGCTTTAATGAACGTTTTAGAGCTATAATGTATCCTCTTGTATATATTATACATGGTATAATTCTAGTATGATTTCTTTTAGTTATCTTTGTACATTGTATTTACATAGTATGATTCCAGTATTATTTTCTATTAGTTATTTCTATGCATTGTAAGTTTGTTTTCTTCTTTAGTTATTATCATAGACTGTAAGGATCTTCAAGCAGATGGATACTTTAATTCAGGGGTGTATGAAATCTACCCCTCTGGGACCATTACAAGTCCTGTCCAGGCGTACTGCGATATGACCAAAATGGGTGGGGGATGGACGGTTTGTTGTTTATTTTAACATTAGGCCACATTATACAATTATACAATTTATTTCACACTCAATGTTTTTGTTGTTTAACAGAATATAGACTGGATTAATATGAATGTTTTTAGATTATATCATAACATATCAATCACACAACTGTTTAAAACAATGATTTACTATACGTGTTTAATTTAAAGGCAATTCAAAAGAGAATTACTGGATCCCTGAGCTTTGACAGGACCTGGACAGAATATAAAAACGGATTTGGTTCACCAGAACAGGATGTCTGGATTGGTAAGTGTAAATTTTTCAAATAGGATTTTTTTTTTCATTCCTTCCGAGTTTTTAAAAAAATAATTTTGTTTTATTTTTGTGTCAGGTGATAGATTAAAGCGTTATAAAGATCTGAATTTAATACTAATTTACGAATTTAATACTAGCTAATATGTGGTCTACGACATCTGGATATCATGTTAGATTGATATTTAAAATAAAAAGAAAAAAAAGAACAGAAAAAAATCATTTAGCGGCATATTTTTTTATGAGAACAAATTAACCATTTCTGACTCAACCAATGACAATAATTTGATTGTTCATTACGGTAGGTAAATATTTATAATAGAATTAATTGTGTTGCAATATGCCTTAAGCTGAATTAACATTTCTTAATACAGGAAATGACGTAATTCATCAATTAACAAAAGAAAACCCATCATCTCTGTATGTGTCCATCTCTCTACAGAATGGTACAACTCTGTATGAAATGTATGACGGATTCTCTGTCTCCGATGAAGCTGGAAAATATCAACTCTTTCTCGCAGGACCTGCCACAAGAACCTTGGGTAAGAGTATTCATGTTAAGTTCTTAGAATTTGGTTCAAATTACGAATAACATCATAATTATACGTTTCTGTAATGCCAGATTAAAAAGTTGCTGTATAAAAGGGGAAGACGTTTTTTTCTGATATTCTGTATGCAATTTTGTTTCCACTCTAATTAAACATGTGTAATATTTCAGAATATCATTCACAGGTACAATTCATATCAATTTTATATTATACATTTTAAATACAAATATTTTAGCAAACAAATCAAGTAATTACAATTGTTCAACCATTGTTATTCAGCTAGGGTTTCCTGATAATTTTAATAGTTCACATTTTATCTGCTACAGAAAAAGATGTTTACAGAGTAAAATTGATCTTTAATATCGACATCTTCACAAAAATTTGATGTTCAAAGAAAAATATGTGATAAGAATTAAGGTTTTCTAAATATTGAAAAGATTGTTAATCAAAATGTTCCTTCCCTTTCTAAATTACGAGATACATAATATATTTACCTCCATGAAATGAATCTGTAAAAATAAATATGTTTTACATATTTAATATGTATAAAGTTGCTTATCGTTTACTATCGAAAAAACGCCAGATCCCTTTTTTTAGAACATCGAATTTTACTTCCCGCATAAAAATGTACTCTGCCTAGTTCATGTTTTATATTCTAAAATTGGAAATGAATACATTTTGGAATATAGGTTATGCATGTTTCTAACTTCAATTTATATTTTATGCAGCCTACATTTACATGAGGAAATGATCAAGTTTAAAATTATATCGTTTTTGTTTGATTTTTATCCAACTACAAGTTTCCAAAATATTCGCGACTATCGTCGCCATCAATTAGACGCATGCCTTTTCACACATATCAAAGCGGTTTGATGATCAAGACTCATTTCCATTGTTTACTTTATATATTTCCCGGGAGACAATTGATGGTTGCATCAATGTTTACTTGTCTTAAACGTTGACAAGTTTACGAAACTTTGATGATAAAAAATTATTTTGATATTTTTTCAAATAAACAGTTTAAAAATCCATATTCAAAACACCTAAACGCGTTTCACATTTACATTATCTATGCTTTATTTTATGAAAACATATAAAAGCGAGCGCAGCGAAGGCGACGCCAAGCGCCGCTCGCGTAGCGAACTCAATAGACTAACGTGTACGAACAAAGGTAATTCGGTTTGAAATCTTCACAGTGTTCCAAGAAATTTTTATCTCACCGTGTGAAAAAATTCCAAACTCCCAATAATCCTTTGCGGTGCATAGCAACATGGTGGCTGAAATATAGCAACAATTTACTTACTTGAAAAAAAAAATTACAAACAACGATTTAATGCAATCTCCATGTCACAAAACTATCGCTTGCGTTTTAAGTCAACAGGACTTTTTATTTGACGTCATACTTTCAACACTTAAACGTATCGGGTATTTCCGATTTTGTCTGAAACTTCTGAAAAGTTCGGACTCTCGATCCCGATGTTTCAACTAATAGCTTTGCCCCGTTCTGTCTGTCGGTTATTCTTTTCTATTCTTTTTTATTCTTTTCTTTTTTATAATGAACTGAGAAAAGGCAGTGCAAGTAAAAGTTGTGTAAATTTTTTTGATAGTAAAGAGCTGCGCTCGCCCCAACGGTCGCACCGTAGAACATATTATATTTAAACATTAACAGGTACACCATATCTTATATTTTTATATTAATAATTATGAATGATTTACTCCATATTGCATTTCATACATTTTTAAAAGCACGGTCTCTACCATATATGAATATTTCATTTATTCATGTTTTCTGATATTTCCAGTGCTCTTTATCCCCCCCCTCCCCCCTCCAAAAAAACCTTACTTTAGAAGTGTATCGCTCCTGTGGTTTATTGTTACATTAGAAATGATGCTTTGTGAATTGTGCAGTGTTTTCTTGACTTGTATATCTATCTCTCTTTACAGGAAACAGCACGTTAAACTGCGTATTTCAGACGTACTTCAGTATTACAATTAATGTGATATAAATTAATAATTATTATCTCTGTTATATATACTTTTTCTAATTCTGCAGGTGCCAGTATTAAGACACCAGGGATTCTAGGACTGAACAAAATAAATATTATCTTTTTTTACAAGCACCTAAAACCGTTTATCTTAGAAGTAGCTCAGTTTTATTTTTGACAACTAGATTGAAGATATTTACATCATTTCTCTCTGTGATTCTTTTTGTTTACTTGTACAGGTGACAGTATGTTAGACACCGGTGATTCTAACAGAGATCTGTCTGGGATGTATTTTTCCACCCCAGACAGAGACAATGACAGGTATAGTGCTAACTGTGCTGATCTCAGTTACATTAGAGGAGGCTGGTGGTTTAACTACTGTGGCTTCGCTCACCTTAACGGTCTCTGGTCCTCAGAGTCCTGGCGCTGGCCATGGTATCGTACAGTAATGGTGGGGATATCAGTGAATGGGACTACCATGATGATCAGACGTCACTAGGTAAACATCATTAAATCGTAATAACAACATTGTTTTGTTTTTGTATTACTGTGAAAATTTCAGTTATAAAAGTTCTTTTTTAAATAAAAAAAATATGCTGTTATACATTTATATGTGAAGTATATTAATTAATTTTTTTTATAGACGAAAGGCCATCCATGGATTGTGCAAACCTTCAAGAGACGATTTTAAATTAATTTTTATCGTTGATTTTTTTTAATATTTAACATCAACTAAGAATCATGTAAACAGATCTGTCCTCGGTAAAGGAAGGGGGGGGGGGGGTAAACTGTTCTGTAAAGCGATACTGAATGTATTCAGTAAAAGGTGTACTTTATATGTGTATATAAATTTGAAAATAGAAATATTTCGTTCTTTTTTACAAACACTGATAAATGGAGGTGTCGTGACGGAACATTAGGATGAAGATTACTTTATTGTTAAACCTATTAAGGTGGAACCTGTTTAATCCGACACATAGGCAAAATACGTTATTGCCATTTAATTTTATTTCTCATATATTTATTTATACTTATGTCCTTGATATTTACACGCACCAATACTACACCTTGTTCATGTCGACATATATATTGGTAATCTGCTCCCTGTGTAAGTCAGATAAAACAGATTTCATTGTAATAAAGATTTTAAGACGATTACAGAAAACTATTTATTATACTTGATGTTCTTGTTTTGCAGTATAATGCATCTAAAATCATGCTTCTCTAAACGAATAGGCCTATATTTTTTCCATCCATGCAGTATTTTGAATGGATGAGCATTTATTATCAATTAATCTACTATACAAGACCTGCTTAAATGGATATTATTGGGTTTTTTTAAAATCAAAGATAAAATAAGCTAAAAAGATGAAGTAAGACGTACTGAATAGTTTTTTCCACAAATCTAATTATTCCATAGATATATTTAAATAGTTTGCATTTAGCGTGTGGCAAGAAACGCAATGTCACTAGATTCGCAATGATACTATATTATGAGCTTAAAGTAAAAAAAATCACATTTTCTGAAAATCAATATCTTTTATTGCTACAGATTATCATTTGAAAAAGAAAAAGATAGGGATTTTTCTGCTCTTGAATGCACATGATACGTCATCGTCGACTTATATCGATATTGTATTTTTTTTTTTTATTTCAGAACATCATAAAACAGAACTGGGGTGAAAAGGTTACAATGTGTAATATGTGTTTTATCCTGACGTCACAAACGTTTAATGCCGTGCCAGAGTAAAGTTATCAGTGAAAATAAAAATATAAAGTTATTTAGATTGATCGTTACTTACGTTATAGGGAATTCAAGTTTACTTAACAATAAAAATTCAAATTTGCAAAACAAGACAAAGACTAAAAAAAAGTAAAAATATAAAAACTTATTCATTGTTTTCTGAAAGATGTTGTCTTATACATATCTGCTTTTGCAAATAAAACTAAGCTAACATTAATTTATATGTTTGAAAATACCTTTGTAAGTAAGAGACTACATCTAATAAAATAATAATTCAAATAGTGCTTAAACAATGACACAAACATCGATATGTGTGTTAAGACAAGTCATTCTCTATCATGCGATGTGTAGGGTATGGTACATATACACATGTATCCCCCTAAAATATAGATTACAACTTGGAATTTGTAGTCAAACAAATCGTAAAAGTTCTTAGGAGCTAATGATAAGAATTCAGGATGTGTTTTTGAAACAAAGGTCCTCTCGTATAGCAACTTATGTTGGATGTTGCCGTTTGCAGGTAATGCACCAAGGTCAATATAAAACTAGTTTCGGTACCAAAAGAAAAGTTTTTCAAAATGAATCTAATTTTTATTGTAAAAACCATAAAATCAGCATCAGTTAAATAATTATGACCAAAGTTAAAGATTTTCAAAAAGAGGTCAAACTGGACAAGGCCAATGAATCAACGTAGATGATACCAAGGGAATTTCAAAAAGAATACAAAGGTGAAATATAAAAGTCAAAGAATCAACCATTCATAAGTTCTAACCAAGGTTTTTTTTAAAGGGTCAAAATCAGGGGTCCAAATAATGGATTGAAATATTGTATTCAAGAGAAGTTCTTACCACAAGAGAAAAACCAGTAAAGTAGTAAACTCCCAGCACTAACCGCTCAGTGGCTACGGTCATTGTTAAACTTTTTTTCTTTTTAAAAGAAGTTCACATCCATCAGTTCAAGGTCAAAACTTTTGGTTTTCAAAAAAAATATTGTCAAAAGAAATGAGCAAGAAGTGTGTGATATAATGATTCTTAAATAACAGGTGCATAAATATTATAATATCACTGTGCAAAATAAAATTTTATACGTATGGGGAGAAAATTATCCGCACAAAAGTATCGAGACGCCACAATATAATGTACATTCTGTATAATATACATTCTGTCTCTATGCTATCCATAGTTTTTTTTTATCATTAGGATAAATTTAGATCTCTTCTGAGGCATCAGATATTCTAAATAAACTTAAGAAGACTCATTTTAATTACTAGTATTAAGACGTTTTTACACCATGCTTAATGAAATTAGAAAGAAAATAATAGGTAAAAATGTTTGTTTAAATTTAAAGAAAATGAAACATTATATAACAAAAAATTTTCCTGGTTCCTAATAAAATGCAGAATCCCCACAAATAAAGGGGAGTTTAAGTCTGTCTTCTCCTTTATCGTATAGTTTCTCTCAGTCACCCAGCGCCACCTACCGTCGTTATGATAAGTTAAAAAGAGGCCAAAGATTGGGTCAACTGTTGTCTCGCCCTGGTCGTTAGGATTCCAGTTCTGATACGTCACAGATGTCCAATTATCAGAAATGGGACTTTCATTGTCGTCAAATTTCTAAACATTGGCACGAAATGCAAATAAACCGTTGAGATGAACTTGCGCAGAATGAACGAGAAAAATGTTTTCCAAAAAAGACCTATATGTTTGATACACTTCAGAGATATATATTTACCAGAATAAATGAGAAGTGTTTTAATTATCTAAAAGATTAAAATCAGACTTGTTGAAGGCAAATCATCTATCAAACTATTTATTACAGGTGATCAAACTTAAGTGGCATCATTTGTGGATGAAAAAAATACCTATTATTAAATCAAATGCAATTTAGAGTAATTAAAAAAAAAAAATGTTATTGTATTTTACAGCATTTGATAAAATTGAAATGATATTTTTAATCAATTGTTTAATCATATTCCCATAGGTGTATGGGTTTACGCCTTAAAGCCTCACTAGAATCCACAGTATGTTATAAAAAAGTTTTTAATTAACATTATGTATATGTTCAAGTTATTCTATAAGTAGATTGTTTAAATACCCGGATGTAAACAGTTTAAAAGTAGAAAATAAAAAAAGAGCTATTTATTTGAAACCTTGATTCTATGTCAATTGTATTCTTTTTTCTTTCTCATTTCAATTTCTAGCCTTATATGGTGTATTTTTCAGTTTAGGAAGAGTGTATATATATATATATATTTTTGGACTTAAATCTTTTTTATATATCCAATTTGAATGACTGATATGTTTTACTTAAATCAAAACAGCAAATTATAAGAAAATAGAGTGCAATTGTTTAAATTTCTTGAATTAAAATTTGATGATATAATCATGTCAAGTTATTCCTCTTGTCGCATGAAAGCTTTTTATCTTTTGCGACATGAAAAGACATTTAATTCATGAAAGTACAGAGAGGCTAAAACAATAACTTTATTTTATTGAGTCAATTAACGTTATTAAATTAACGGAATTTCATGACGTAAAAAAAAAAATTATGTAAGCTTGAAGCATTAGGAGAATAAGAAACCAGGAACATACGTATTCTCATTTTTAATATTAGTATCATTGAAAGGGGGGTATCCTTATGCTATGTGCATGAAATATAACGATTGATATATAAGTCTTATTCTTTGATTTTAATGCATTATGCAGACAAAAAAAATCGATTCTTGAAAAAACACGAGAGAGAGAGAGAGAGAGAGATTTTTATTTTTGTGTATATAGGATACCCGTGACCTTAATATTTTGCTGATAAGTATAATAGGAAATTCATTTCATGTTTTTTTAATCAACAAGAATTCAGATGAGGAGAAAAAAATAAACAAAACATGAACGAAGTTCTCTTTGTCACTACATTTATATATATATAAAAATTACAAATATGAATATTTAGTTGGCCTCTTTGCAAAACTGCAATTTACATGGATCATTGGAGATTTATTTACTATAAATTACTGAAAAAATATAAAATTGGTACGAAGAGTAGCATCAGTTAAAAGTACATATTATAGCAATTTAATATCAACTAATTCCTAGATGTTATCTGAATTCAAGTGTGCGATGACAGTGATATTGTTCTTTTTCCGTTTATTTTCGAACATCTATAAAATAATTCACGGTCCTGTACAATTGATTGATGGATCAATCAATATCAAATATATATCAAATGTCAATCACCACATCCGCAGGTATCATAATCAAATCCCAACAGCATTTAATCTATAGAGAGATTATTTTTTCTGTCTCAGCTATGAAGGAAGGGACACAATTTTAAACTAACAGTTAATAAGCGTTGTCAAGAAAACTACCAAGAGGTATAATATCATGACTTCCTTATTGAGATTTCCTGATAAATTTCTCAAATTATTTCTCAACTGAATTGTAAATTAGATCAAAACAAAATTCAAAAGTTACTGTGATACAATAAAAACATGTCTTTTTTAAAACTGTCATTTCAAAACTAATCAAGAAAGTTTATCAAATGTAATTTATTTGTAAAGATCATGAATTAAAGATACCTGAAAATCGTAGAAGGTGATGTTGAACACTGATTATTGTCACTTCATCAGTGTGTATTCAAAGCGAATTTTAATAGATTTATGACAATTACTTGTAGCTGAATTTCAAGAACATGATTTTTGTACATGTTTTTCCTTTCATACTCAAACAAATTTTACAATCTGAAAAAATCCCCCAAGAGAAG